ATAATACTAACAGAGGGTTGAGTGTTTGAGAGTGCTTTGTAAACACCTGTGTATTTTCTTTTCTCCCAGTAAAATATCTGCAGTAGTCCGGAGACGTAGGCAATTTTGGCCGAACTCCGTTATCAATTGGTGTGTCCAATTATTCCGTCTTTATTTCGTTTTTATTTCACTTTCATAGATCTGACTACATGGAAAAGTTCTGTGTATTTTTCCTAACAACTGGTATCAGAGCTGGTTGTTAACTCTGCAATTTTTGTGGTGACACTATTCATATGAATAGTGAATTTACTATTTTGTGAATAGTAAAAATTTTGCCGGTGCTACAAAATTATCTACAGACGTGTTCCGAAACACGGTAGTTCACAGAAATTGTCAGAAACGATCCAGAAAAGTCAGATCCGAGTTGGAATGATGGCTGCAGATGAAGGAAAGGTGAAAATCGAGAAGTTCGATGGTGCGGACTTTGGGCTCTGGAAGATGCAGATCGAGGATTACCTGTATCAGAAGGATATGTTCAAACCACTCACAGGAAAGAAACCAGAGGGTATGAAAGAGGAGGAATGGACTCTTCTCGACAGAAAGGCCCTTGGAGCCATTCGACTGACGTTATCCCGTAATGTTGCTTTTAACATTGCAAAAGAAAAGACGACAGCGAGGTCTTATGGATACTCTTTCCGGTATGTACGAGAAACCATCGGCCTCAAACAAAGTTCATTTGATGAGGCGGTTGTTCAATCTACGGATGTCGAAGGCGCTTCAACGGCGCGACATATCAATGAACTCAATACTTGTTACAACTCGGTTGAGTTCGGTTGGGATCGAGTTCGATGATGAAGTACGAGCTTTGATACTTTTGTCTTCTCTACCGGAAAGTTGGAATACTACTGTCACAGTTGTGAGTAGCTCATCGGGAAGCAATAAGTTAAAATTTGATGATATTCGTAATTTGGTTCTCGGTGAAGAGATCCGGCGGAGGGAGTCGGGTGAATCATCAACCTCTTCGATGTGCATACAGAGTCAAGAGGAAGAAGTTCAACCAAAGAAAGCGGACGCGGAAAATCAAAGGGCAAACGATCCAAGTCCGGAAATCATCGTAGTTCCCAAAACTCGAAGCAAATCGAGTGTTGGAATTGTGGGAAGACCGGACATTACAAAAATCGGTGCAAGAATGCACGAAAGAATCAAGAAGCGAAGGACGAGGCAAACGTTGCCTCTACCTCGAGGAAAGATGATGTGTTGATATGCTCTTTAGAAAGCAAGGAGGAGTCTTGGGTGTTAGACTTTGGAGCATCATTCCATGCTACCTCACAAAAGCAACTGTTCGAGAATTATGTTCCCAGAAATCTTGGTAAAGTTTACCTTGGTAATGAGCAATCGTGTGAGATTGTAGGTAAAGGTACGATAAAGATTAAGTTGAACAGTGCTGTATGGGAATTGAAAAATGTCGGACATATTCCCGACCTGACGAAGAACTTAATCTCAGTGAGTCAGTTAGCCAGTAAAGGTTACACAACAATCTTCCACAGTGATGATTGGAAGATCTCAAAGGGTGCGATGACAATTGCTCGAGGCAAAAAGAGTGGTACTCTTTACAAGATTGTAGGAGCATGTCATTTGATTGCAGTTGCAACAAATGAAAATCCCAATCTATGGCACCAAAGACTTGGGCATATGAGTGAGAAAGGGATGAAGATCATGCACTCAAAAGGAAAACTACCAGGTCTTCGATCGAGTAGAAATTGACATGTGTGAAGACTGCATACTTGGAAAGCGAGAAGAGAGTTAGCTTTCGGACAAATAGAAGAATTCCAAAGAAAGAGAGACTTGAGCTTGTCCACTCGATGTTTGGGGTCCAACGAATGTCCCATCCGTTGGTGGGAAGCAATACTTCGTGACGTTTATCGATGATCACTCCAGAAAGGTATGGGTTTACTTTCCGAAACACAAGTCAGAAGTATTTGAAGCTTTCAAGATTTGGAAAGCTATGGTAGAAAATGAAACGAGGATTGAAGATTAAGAAGCTCGAGATCCGACAATGGTGGTGAATATGTAGACACCGGATTCAAGAAGTTTTGCTATGAGCACGGAATCGAGAATGGAGAGGACCGTGCACTGGTACGCCTCAACACAATGGTGTAGTCGAGCGTATGAACCGAACGTTGATCGAAAGAGCCAGAAGCTTGTGTGTACAGTCAAGCTTACCAAAGCGAGTTATGGGCAGAAGCGGTTAACACGACGGCTTACTTGATCAACCGAAGTCCATCGGTACCATTGGAGCACGGAATACCGGAAGAGGTATGGAGCGAGAAAGAGGTAAAACTCTCACATCTTAGAGTTTTCGACTGTGTAGCATATGTCCATATCGGTGATCAAGGTAGAAACAAACTTGATCCAAAATCAAAGAAGTGCACTTTCATTGGTTATGGTGAAGATGAGTATGGCTACCGCATATGGGATGATGAAAACAAAAAGATGATCCGCGCGAGAGATGTAATCTTCAATGAAAGAGTGTTGTACAAGGACATGCATAAAACAGGTATTAGCAATTCAGAATCGAGTGGGCCCGTTTTTGCAGAAGTGGAAGATGTCCTAGAAAATCCTATAGCGAGAAGTCCTCAGTCAGAGGAATCAATTGAAGAAGGTGATGTGCAACCAGAACCTCTTACTCCAACTCCTGTATTGAGAAGGTCCTTTAGACCTCATGTGCCAAACAAGAGATACATGGACTACATGTTGCTGACTGATGGAGGGGAGCCCGAAGATTATATAGAAGCTTGTCAAACCACAGATGCTAGCAAGTGGGAGTTTGCCATGAAAGAAGAGATGAAGTCTCTGATCTCCAATCAGACATGGGAACTAGTCAAGTTACCCATGGGGAAGAAAGCACTTCACAACAAATGGGTGTATCGGGTGAAGGAAGACCATGATGGTTCCAAGAGATACAAAGTTCGACTAGTTGTCAAAGGATTTCAGCAAAAAGAAGGAGTTGACTACACTGAAATCTTTGCTCCAGTCGTAAAGCTCAATACTATCAGAACAGTGTTAAGTATTGTGGCTAGTGAAGAGCTCTACCTAGAGCAATTAGATGTGAAGACTGCATTTCTCCATGGAGACTTAGATGAGGAGATCTACATGCACCAACCTGAAGGATTTTCAGAAGGAAAGAAGGATATGGTGTGCAAATTGAAGAAGAGCTTGTACGGTCTGAAACAAGCTCCAAGACAGTGGTACAGGAAGTTTGAAAGCTTCATGCACAAGGAAGATTTCCAGAAGTGCAATGCCGATCACTGTTGTTTCTTCAAGAGGTATAAGTCCAGTTATATCATATTGCTACTTTATGTTGATGACATGTTAGTAGCAGGTTCAAATATGAGGGATATCAAAAATTTAAAAATGCAGTTGTCAAAGGAATTTGACATGAAGGACTTAGGACCAGCAAAGAAGATTCTTAGAATGCAAATCACGAGAGATAAGCAAAAAGGAGTTTTGCAGCTATCTCAAGAGGAGTACATCAACCGTGTTTTGCAAAGATTTAACATGGACAAGGTCAAACCAGTCAATACACATTTGGCCAGTCATTTTCGTCTATCCAAGGATCAGTCTCCTCAAACAAAGGAAGAAGAAATTATGGCTAAGGTTCCGTATGCTTCAGCCATTGGAAGTCTGATGTACGCAATGGTCTGTACAAGGCCAGACATTGGCCATGCAGTGGGAGTTGTGAGCAGGTTTATGGCAAATCCAGGAAAGGCTCACTGGGAAGCCGTCAAGTGGATTCTAAGATATCTACGAGGAACAACAAAAAAATGTCTATGTTTTGGAAAAAGAAATCTAAGATTACAGGGCTACGTAGATGCAGACTTTGGAGGTGAAGTTGATCACCGAAGAAGCACCAACGGTTATGTTTTCACGGTTGGTACTACAGCTGTTAGTTGGATGTCGCGAATACAAAAAATTGTTGCTTTATCCACTACAGAGGCTGAGTATGTAGCACTGACAGAAGCCAGTAAAAAATTGATATGGCTTCAAGGACTGTTAGCAGAGCTAGGATTCACTCAAGAAGGGAGTGTTTTGCATAGTGATAGTCAGAGTGCAATACATCTAGCAAAGAATTCAGCATTTCACTCTAGAACCAAGCACATTGATATTCGTTATCATTTCATCAGATCTCTACTTGAGGATGAGGTGTTAACATTGAAGAAGATTGTAGGAAGCAAGAACCCAGCAGATATGCTAACGAAGGTGGTGACCATTGACAAACTGAAGTTGTGCTCAACTTCAGTTGGCTTGCAAGAGTAGCAGACCAGAGAAGACTACTGCATTAATCAAGGTGTGAGGACAGATTGAAATCAGTCCTCAAGTGGGAGATTGTTGGTGTTTGAAAAGTCAAAAAAAGGTGGCAAGTGGTTGGTTGGCAAGTGGTTGGTTGGCAAGTGGTTGGATGGCAAGTGGTTGGAGACAAGAAAAATTGGAAAGCCTTAAATGCACAAGAACCATTCCTTTTGCTATAAAATGCTCTTTCACTTCACTCATTTCCATCATCCAATTCCAAAGGAACCATTACAAGAGTTAGCCAGCAAGAAGCAGAAAGAAATAATCTAGCTTCTGGGTGTAATTGGGTTGAGGGTTGAGTGTTTGAGAGTGCTTTGTAAACACCTGTGTATTTTCTTTTCTCCCAGTAAAATATCTGCAGTAGTCCGGAGACGTAGGCAATTTTTGCCGAACTCCGTTATCAATTGGTGTGTCCAATTATTCCGTCTTTATTTCGTTTTTATTTCACTTTCATAGATCTGACTACATGGAAAAGTTCTGTGTATTTTTCCTAACACAAGGAAGCTTTTAATTTGATTGCAAATTCATAAGTATAAACTGTCTATCAAGCCTAACCCATAGGAACATGGAAATCCTCTAGAGAAAATTGGATACTTCAGTAATAATCTAATGGACTAATACTAATCCAAAAAATTGACACTGGCAATTATAATTGCATTGCTTCAACTCACCATTGACAATGTTATGCCCTCAAGAGCAAGACTGGAAAGAAAGACATCGCGAAAATTTTTCAGTTCATCCACAGCATCAGGGTCTACATAGTAAATCTGTCCATAGTTATATATATTATGAGCATTAATTACTAAAAGTTAAACCATAAAAAAAAAAAAAAAAAAAAAAAAAGCAAAAGTAACAAAAATTGTGTTTTTGTGAAATGCAGAGGTAAATGCAAAGAAGTGAGCTAGCTTAACAAAGTGAAGCCAAAATTGAAAAAGCAAAACTTATATGAAATAATAAAAACAGCAAGGGTTTCACAAACCAAAGTTGGTTGTTGGGTATTGGATTCATCATGAAGGAACTGGTTGTCTGGATCTTTTGCATTTGTGTCAGCGCAGGTAGCAGTAAGTCTCTCAACTTCTTTTAGCGCAACCAGCCACCTTCTTAGCAACTGAACTCTCTCTATCCCTCTACACGAAATCGAAACTTCTTCTAACCTTTTTACAGTGTGCCTAAAACTTTGCACGTTCCGAGTCACCTGTTCATTATAACCATTCATATTTCAGAGACACATTTGAGAAAAAGAAGAAAACTTAAATACAGTACTTTTAGTGGTGTTTGTACTATTCTTCCATTAGAACAGAAGTTTTATTCAAATAATTTGGATAATCCTTTAAGATAAATTTTTATTGTGCGGATTACAAAAATGATACTTCAATTCCAACAAAACAGAACACATATAAAACCAAATGTGTTTATCTAAATTTTGTCCTGAGTAAGAGCATAACAGGCATGCACTATGAGTGAAAACTTATAAACAATAAAAATCATCCTTAATTTGATTCTGACTTTTAAGATAACCATTATTGTATAGGTTAATACCATTTGTAATTAGATGGCTATGCATGTATTATTTATTCAAGAAATAAAGACCCCAGAAACAATAAAGCTCCAAAACATGACCCTTTTAAGGCCCAACCCAGATATTTCTTACACTGCAAGGTACCATGGCCAAGATGAAAACTTTGTCCCGAACCCAGAATTAAAAACCAAGGCTAAAGGAAATTTGCAAGTTTCAGGAAAAGGGATAGTTACAATGCGGTCTTGGATGATTCTGGCGCCGCCGGCAACGGCGTTGCTTGCATGGAGCACGACGGAGTCGGCGTAAGTGCGGACGGCACGTCGGATTGGGCCACCTTCCACCGCCTTGTTTACCGCCGATCTTACCCATGACATTCTTCTTCAGACTTCGCCAACTTTTTCTTCTTTTTCCTTAATAAAATATATGAATGTGTATATAAGTTCTCTTTCAACGTTTCTCTTTGTATTGGTGTGTAGGTACGTGCGGTTATGGAAAATGAAAAAGGGAAAAGAAAGTGTTTCTGTGTGTATCTATGTTTTTTTATGGTGCAAAAGAAAATGGAAGTTGAGGGTGATAGTTATTGTGGCACGTGTGAGAAATGATGCAATGGCGAAGAGAGAAGAGAGAAGAAAGAGAAGAAGCGAAGGGAAGAAGAAGTCAGCTTTTGTTTTGGAGGCATGAATTTCGGAAGAAGAAGTACTGTTTTTCTAAATCCATTTGTTTCTCTGTCTTTGGGTTTGTTTATATTTTGTAATTATAGTATTTTTGTTCTTAAACATTTCAACCATGTTAAATTGTGAGTTTATAACATTCATAACAAATAACAAATGTACTTTTTGTAATGAAATTATTAATTTACATTATCTTCGTACCCTAAGATTATATGATAATGGTTTTAAAAAATAAAATATATTATTTTAATATAAATATTTTAAATAACTTTATATATAAAATTTATATTAAAGTATTTTTTTTAATTATTTCTAATAAATATATTTTAAATGTTTTAAATGTCAAAGCTGAATTAATTTCTTAAATAATATATTTAAAACAAAAAATTATTTAAATAGGATTTTTGTAATTTATTTACCCAATTAAATTTATACAAAATTTAATAATAAAAAATAAATTCATCCTATATAAAATAAATATTTTGCTTTCTTTTTTATTTATTTTTCTATTATTATTATTTTTAATCTACTTTTCTTTTTCTCGATATTTGTTTTCTTCTTCTTTTTTCTCTTCAATTTTCCTCTTCCTCTTCGATCATTCATCTTATTCTTTTAATTAAAAATATTAAATTAAAATTTTATAAAATGTCTTCTTTATTATTTTTAAACAATCAAAATATTTAAATTATCTAAAAATATTATAATTTAATATATTATATTTTAAAAAATATTATATCATAAATCTGAGATATAATATTATAATTATTAAAAAAAATATTTATTTTAAAGTCACTTTTTAATAAATATTTTTTTTAGATTACTAATCTTCATAACTTTGATTAACTTATTAAGTAATAAATATATCTAACTCATAAATATTTGATATTTTTATTAGATAGGTAATTGTTTAATATGATAAAATAATTTAAAATTAATTATTTATGTTATCATAAATAAAATTATTTATTGCTATAATAAATAAAATTATTTATTGTTATATAATTTTAAATAATTAATTGATATTTTTTAAATTTTAATATTGATTTTAAAAAAATTATATATATTTTTTTACTTATAAAGGGAGACATGATATGTATTTTCTTAATAATTTAACATAATAATTTGTAATACCTTAATTTTATAATATAATATTTTTTAAAATATAATATATTAAATTATAATATTTTTTAATAATTTAAATATTTTTATTTTTTTTAAATAATAAAAAACTTATTTTATCAAATTTTAATTTAATATTTTTAATTATAAAAATAAGATAAATGAGAGAAAAATAAATGAGAGGAGTGGAAAAAGAAAGCAAGGAGTGTGAGAAAAAAAATAACAAAAAAAAATGAAGAGAGAAAAAAGTAATAAAATAAATGAGATAAGAGAACAAAATATTTATAGTTTAGAATAATTTATTTTCTAATAATAAATTTTATGTACGAATAATAAATAAGTTGGATAAATGAATTGACAAATATTCTATTTAGATAATTTTTTATTTTAAATATATTATTTAAGAAATTGATTCGGCAAATCTCGGATAATTTTTTCGTTGAAATTTATTATTTAATGATCAAATTTAAAATAAATAAAATATTAAACCAAGCAGGTTTATAATTATTTATTGATAATACCACTTTTGAATATGAAATAAATTATATTAGAAGAAAGTTGCTAGGTTAATGAAATGTTCTTATTAAAAAAAATTTATTAAAGAGAATATAAATTAGTATAAACTCCTATCTCTAAAAAAAGCTAGAAGTAGGGGTGTTCAATGTTATTTTTCTTTTATTGAAAACACATTCGAACCAAATTATTAGAATTACATTTTATGAATTTTAAATCAATAGAAGTATACATTTTTTAAAAAATTTACTAGATTTATCATATAATATGTAAAATAATAATCTTTAATTTATTGTCATTTTATTAAGTTATGCTTCGACAAAATAAAAATAATCCAAATCATCTCAAAAAATAGAAAAAAAGTAAGTGTTCTACTTACAAATTGTTACATATTAAGGTATCATATCTCAGCTATGAAAAAAAAATAATAACCTACATATATTTGTCATTTGGTTTGGTTCTGAATCACAAATAGCTTTCGATTTAGAGGGAAAAATATATAAAATAATTTCATTTTGGTCAATTATTTATTAATTTATTTCTTTTTTACATCGGATCCATTTTTAGCCCCTTAATATTTATATTGATTTGGTATTTTCTAACAAAATTTTTATAGGACTTGTTTAAAAATAAAAATAAAAATATTATTTTAATATGTTTTATTTATATGTAATTTTTTCAAAACGATTTTCTTTGAAGATGTTTTCATAAAATTTGAAAAATCGGATCAATAATTAAATTGAAAAGACATTGATTTTAGGTTTAATGACACTGACTAAATTGGTAGTAATTAAATTATATTTTTAATATTATATGATATTTAAAGAAATAATAAATTTATGGAAAAAGTAGGATGTAACATATTATAAATTAATATAGAACTAGGTTAGATCTTTATATACAAAAAATTAATAACAGTTCACAAAAGTATTTGAATTTTCATCTTTGTTTATCTAAAAGACATTTTAAATAAATTAAAAAAAATTAAAAATTGTTCAAACTAGTTTTAGACTAGTATTTTTATTAGAAACAATTTTGATTAAGTTAAACATAAAACACAAACTTAAGGAACAATTTTAATCTTATAAGTACATGAATCCTATATACTCGAAATATAATTCAATATCTTTATATCATTAAGAGATTAGTTGGTAAAGAGACGAAATAAAAAATAAATAAATAAAATCTGACAAGACAACTATTATATCTAATATAATATTGATTATAATAATTTTCCTTGAAATAATTATTAGTACATTTGTTTTATTAACCTTATTTAAATTTCAATATATATTAACTTCAATTATATAATTATTCATCTTATCAATGATATAAATAGATATAGAAATTAAATCCTACCTTATATAGATATTCTTGACCCAACTTTAATGGAGAATCATTTTTAACTTGACGATTTGGTTAAAACAATTAATTTTAAAAAATTCAAAAACTAATGGTCTCTATTTTTATAAAAGAAGAAAAAAAAGGCAAAAGTAACTTTTTCAAATGAGTTACATACTATTATAATATAATCTTCCTCTTATCTTGAAAAAAATGATGAGACACAATGAAATAAAACTTTGAGTAGTCCATCTGAGACTACAATATTGAGGACAACTAAGTTTTTCACAATCTACAATTCAAGTCAATGCATAACCTTGGCTTTCATGTTTCATAACTGATCTAGCACTTTACTCCAATTGGTTTTCTAATGTTTTTATGCATGATAGACTAACTAAAGCTAAACATCAATACCAGGTTAAGACTTGAAGCTCCATATCATGGCATGAAATACAAACTCAGTACTTAGGATAAACACCAATAACAGGTTAAGACTTAAGACTTGAAGCTCCATATCATGGCCTGAAATACTTAGTACTTGAGCACTTCATCCACCCAAAACAAAATTTGAACCTAGAGAAGTTGCTAACCATCTACATTATTCCCTGATCACCCCCAATGAAAATTGAAAAATATACCAGGTGCAGTACAAAAAGATGGACAGCAAGGCCTGGTCATCCCCATCCATCAAACCAGTGTAGAAAGATACTCTCCAGTCAACTATGGTCATGAATGGGCCACTTAGGAGGAATTTCAGGATTTTTCAGTTCATGTCTAGGATGTTTTAACTTCCATTCCAATGATCCTTGCCAAAAGGAACTAAATATCTTCAGCAATGAACTAATCTACATCTGGCAATGACGTTTTCCAATAGTTCCATGAGTTGTAGTCCTCCTGCGGTATTTCAGAAGTTAAAAAAGTCAATTTTATTGGTAGTGAAGTTCAGATTCTATTGTACTAATTGGAAGCTAGGAGATGATTTGTCACCTGCTCGACCAAACAAGTTGGTGGAAACATGTCATTCACAAGGGTGTGTAATGATGTATATGACTTTGCACCAATTCGGTGACTAATGGCTACCTCACCCTGTTATTTTCATAGGCATTTAGTTGGTCACAAAGAACTTAAGAAACTATAATTGTCACAAATATGAATCCAGGATGCTCACCTTAGGGTTGATAATAAATATTTTTCCCTTGGGGATGCCAATCTTTCTGTAACTAAGTTCATCTGTATCTCTATTGCCAAATCCAGCGTAAAATGGATTATAGTCAGAAGGGAAAAGTTTTTTTATATCCTGCATAACAATATTTTTAGACCATATGTATTATGTTGTTGACAAGAAATGTCTTCCAATAACATCTCATGTTATATATCAAGTGACATGGTTTTGTGTTCTGGCAGTTACCTCTAAACAAGCAATCTTGAATTCATGTGGTGCCCTTCGTATCACTTCCATCAGTAAACACAAAAAATAACAAGTCAGAGACAAAGTATCCACTCCAGGGAAAAAAGGACAAGTCATAATACACATATAAACATACAAGCAATGTAGTAGTTATAATATTTTGGTTACCTAAATAATAATAATAATAATATTAAACAGAGTACAATGGTGCAACTCAGATCAGTTATATCCATAATTAAACTCCAAGAAGTAATAAAAATGAGAGTAGCAGGCTATCAATAGTCCTCACAAATGCTAATTTGCTAAAGAAGTTTGCGTATGATTAAGAATTATATCATTCTTCAATAGATAAGCCCGAGCTAAAGATATATGCAGTCACTTCAATTTATCAGAGTTCATGAATCTTAAAACAACTCAGACAATAGTTCTTTTTCATAATTTCATGCACCAGATCCCTTGTCCTTTTTTTGCTATTATAACAGTTAATATGCACCCTGTTTTGGGTGAAGAAAGAAATACGAGCTTGTTTGTTTTATGATTGAGTAGACTTGATTTTGAGAAGTAAAATATAATTGGAATGTGTATCCAAATCATAGATTTTACATCAAAACACATGTCCCAGTGTGAGAAGTTAATTTTGGTTGTTTCCCAAAAAACCTCTAGAATTACATGATATTCACAGCAGTACACATGACTTCGTAAGGAGAGAATCATCAAACAAAAAACACAAGTGCATTAGTAGAAAATGAAATCTTCATTATAACATAGCTAACAACCGACTACATAAACAACATTGCAGTATCCATCACAACTATTCTCAGGTTAGAAGTACCCCACCTTCTCGGTAAAGGGAGGGAAATAATCCATCAGGTGAGATAACAATAGGTCCATTTGGTAAGGTCTTTCCGTCCTGAAAAACACGCAATGTTTATGCAGCTTAAACAGTGATCACGTCATTGTCAAGTATTAAGCAATTCCATTTCAGGACAAATTGAAACAAATATAATAATAGAATGAGAGTATAATATGGAAATCTTTACTGACTCTTTCCGCTCCCTAATATACAGAGACATGAACAGGTGTAAAAAGTGAAAACATAAATGGCAAAAGAAAAGAAGGGACGAGAATTCTTGATATGAGGCAAGGTCAGAAATACATCTTTCTGGTTCAGAACAGATACTAGCCTTTGGTGCTTTCATGAAATTTTCATGGCCAAAAATTTTAAATTCTGAGAACTGTAAAAATCCAAACGCCTAGTAATACATGATCCAACTTCCTAATTACAATGTTATTTAATTTTTGTGTTTGAGGGGGTGTAAAAAGTCATGATCTTGATAAGTGTAAAAATCCTGCTTTATCACAGATAAGATTTTACTGTTTTCTTCTTTTTCTAATGCCAATTTTTCAGACATGCAATTTTTAGCACCTCCAGTTACAACGTTTTTAAATCCCATGGTACCTTAATGCCACCTTTTACTATGGCAACCTTGAAATGATATCTTAATTGAGTAGTCGGATATGCAGTTAAGAATAGAAATCTTTAGTGGATATTAAATCAAGACAGATACTCCTCCACAAGACTAGTAAGGTAGTTGAAGCAACATAGTCTTAACATATATGATACGTTGATCCAAATACTTCAACAGTACAGGATAATTTTAAAATCAGAAAAAAATTGTCATCGGTCACATAAAACCTGGTTTTTTGAATACCTGTTTCAGGTTAAGCAAGAAGTTTCGGGTTAGATATGCCTGGACAATTGCACGGGCACTCAGAAAAAGTAGCTGGTATCCATTTTCCTGACATAAAATCCAGATCAAGTAATTAGACTAATCTTCTTGAGATATAAATCAAAAGGACAATAGGCTTCACCATAACACCATGCATGCTAGACTGCATTTTACATTAGACAGATAGTAAAATTATGTTAATAACCATTAAATTTATTTCAATTTTCATTCTAATGGAAAGAAATATAAGCAGAAATCTGGGGACAATTAGAATATACATATCAAAAAGCATGTGTATGATAAAAATACAAAAGTAAAATGAGTCAAACTTTTCTCAAATGAAATTACCTTACACACCTACTTTTAGCGGAGTTAGATGAAAGACATTGGGATGGCTAAGTTAATTTTAACTTATATAAGTTTTATTCAATTGATCTTATTTTCTTCTTCTATAAAACAAAAGATCTTAATATCCTAGTCATAATAATAATAACAATAATAATAATATAGAAATTAAGGAAATGGTTAGTACAAGAGTAAGTCTTGGCCAGTTAGTCCATTTAATAATTTTCATATAAAATAAAAATAAAAAATTCAATCATTGAACATGTGCTATTATATTAAAGATACTTAATACCAGATTTGGATAAATAAACATTCATAGGTATGTAATCTTAAGTTCTTACTAATAATATTTATGAAGTGCAAATAAAACAGTAAAAGAAAGTAAATGTCGTATGGTAATGAAAGCAGACTATGTACATAGCCTGTCTTACTAGTCACTAGCCTTCCTATCAACTATGCTTGTTGATTGAACAAAAGAGATTAGACCAGGCCTCAGGCTCATTTGCTGAGAAATCTCAAGTCCCAAGCTCAAAGGAGGAAGGCTTAGCTCCTTCTAAACCCATACATTATATATATTACATTTACATAAGATCTATAAAACAAACCTCACCAAAGAGAGTGTACTTTAAATCACTGCAGATGCAATAAGCATTTCTAGTCCACAGTTCAAGTCATCCTTAAAATAGAATACCGAGAGGTAAATAGAAATTACACTAACAACTGAATTTTCTTTTCTTTGTCTCTAATAGAAGTCCCTCATCAATTGTACAAACTCAAACTAAAATTTGGGAATCATGTATACATCTATTAAAGAGACACATAATGAACAACTAGCAACAAGAATTTGAAATTTAATTACACATCCACTGTACAATAATCTTCGCAGAAATATCCTATAAAGATCTGTTTCCATTTACCTTACTAAATTTTTGCCATAACAATCCTACTCCATTTGAAATGAACATATCTTAGATCTGTACAAATAAAACAATATACATACCTTAATGGCACAGAAAAGCCTTGCCACTCCAGATTGTGTCCAATCTTTGCCGACTAAAGGCATGAACTGCCCCAAAACATCAGACCTTAAAGGAAAGGAAAAACACAAGCTTTTTAATCCTGGTTCTCAAATTATAATGCAACTCTGACTTCTATTCCCTCCATATTTAGACATGTGCATCGATTCATAACAGCAAATGCAATCATGTTTAACATCATTTTGTCATGAATGAGCATTATGGTGCATGCTTCGGTTTTGCATATAAAACCAAACCATATCCAATTTAAAACAGAATATATAGATTGGACTTTAAATCCAAACCACTCAATATTTTCAAAACTAGTTTTGTTTTTTACCAAACCAGATTCAAATCAGTTATTTAACCAGTTTATGAATAAAACTGGAAGTGGTTCAAAACTGGTTTGTCATTCAAAACCAGTTTTAAACCAAAACTTATTTTAAAAATGGTCGAAGACTGATTAAGAATTAGTTTTATTTATAACAAATTTAACTTAAAAAAATAGATTAAAATTGAATAAGAACCAAAGCTGGTTTTTAAAACCGGATGACCAAACCATTTGTGAGGAATTAAACTAGTTTGCCTTAAAAACTGTACATTGTTTGGAAATTGGAATGCCCTAATCTCTAGTAGCAAAGACAAGTTGAATGGGTAAAAGTTTCTAAAAAAACATGCAAAGTTCTGCAATCTGTAAGACCTCTTATTAAGAAACAGTACCATAGGAGAATAGAGTTAGGCCCAATTATTGGGCAGTTACCCCTATTAATGAGGTTTTGTAAAAAGGAGAGTTGGTCAAGAATAAGTTAGAACAGTAATGCTAATATAAATAGAATGAAGGTAGGGGAAGGAGTCTCTTTTTGAGGAATTTGTAAGAAGTTAGAGGAGGGACCGGGCTCTAATGTCCTGGATATCTGTTACTAACCAGCTACCCATTCAGATTTTATCTTCTCTTTAAAGTCATTGTTCTGGAGAAGGCTGACTCCAAGACAAGGGATAACTTTGTTTCTAGGTGTGGATACGCCTAGAAAGTAGAAAACATTGAATGCGCTTAGAAAGTTAAGTTTTCGATGCATTGAATTTTCTAATCCCAATAAAAAAGTTACCTTTTCACTTTCTACTCATACTACAGAATATTTGAGAAAAAAGAGATATCTGATTACCTTCTTTAAGATAATCAATTATATTTCAAATACTTTAGAAAAAGTATTTTTTGTTTTCTATAATAAATAATATATCAAAAATAAATATTTTTATTTTATTTTTTACACTTTTTATGTTTTTTTTTTCCTTCATCCAAATAATTTTACTTTTTATCATCTTTATTAATTTTTTGTTTACTTTATTATTTAATTTTTTTATTAACCAAATCAATTTTATCAAATACAATTTTTTTATTCATTTCTCTTTACTTTCAACTTTATTTTCCTAAACCCAAATAACCTCACTTTCTACTATCGTCCTCTTTTTTCCACCTTCTCAAATCATCCTACCAATCCAAACACAAGCTAAATCTGAAACTTCATACATTCAAAGCAAATCCTGACCCTCTTCTCCATTTTCTTTCACTTTTGTAACAGTCTAAATAGTGTCAACAATTACCAGAATTTGCATTATGGGCACACAAAGGGATTTCATCTACATCCAATTAAATCCAAATGGAGAACAGAGTTGTAGAGAAAAATAACAATATTGAAGTGGCATCTATGTCAAGTGAAGTTAAAGAATGCTTAGTAGCCTAAAAAGCATTATTAGCAACCTTACTTGGTAATAGTTCCATCAACGTCTGAAATAACAATTCTTGCATTCCACTTCCATAAATAAATATGAGCATCAACCTATTATGTAAAAAAACTTCTCTCTTAAACAAAACCCAACCATCGTATATATAACTTGCACAGAAACTTAGTCAATTAATGTCAAAACCTGTTGTGTACCAAGAACCCTTGTAGAGAAACTGAAGGTTACCAAATTCTGACCATCTTTGAGATTTAAGGATGCTATCTGCTCATTAGTGGGAACATTGGTTCTTAGAAATTGCTTACGAGGAGACCCCTGGGTACTGGATGTCGGAGTTCTGTCTATAAGAAATGCAGACTCAGAATCAAGAAACACCTCCTCATTTGATGCATTGCTATTAGTATGCTCAAATGTTTTGACCTTTCGAAAAGGAATAGGCCAAAGTCTCCATCTGCGTCCAGCTGAAGATGATCCTAGATCGTTATCCCTGGACTTCAATGCATGATCCTGTTCCACAGGAATAGTATCTTTGGGTGCAACAGGTAAATCTAAACCATAAACAGCCATTCCAAGAACAAGAGGAGAAGCCTTTTCCCACGTCATGTACCTCTCTTTAAATTTGATAACAAGATTTTGGTTTTTAATTATTGATTGAGAAGAACTTGTGAAGTCAACTGCGGATATGCGATGCGCTTCAAACACTTCAGCAGCAGCTATTGAACCCATTCCCTGCTTAAGTTCATGGCCACAAAGTGAAATCTCAAATCCTGCAAATTATAAGATGAATAAGAATAACTAAACAGTGCATTAATATTAAATAAATAATTGAAGAATCCAAGTGCAACTCATTTGCAGCACTGGTCTTACCCAAACCCAAATGGCTTTGATCCCCTTTATTTGAAGTTTCTGTTTGAGGCTCCACTACCTCACTTGTAGCCGAAACATCTTTCAGTGCACGGGTTTGTTGACTTTCATCTACCCCATCGTTTGATACAGACTTGTCAATACGTTCATCATTTTGTTCAGTTTCAGTAGTAAAAGAACGAGAGCCAGAACCAGTTTCAACATCTCCAGCAGTATTTTTCTCAACCTCTTGAATTTCCAATTCTGATTTTGGATATCTATGGCCATTAGAAGAAATAGAACAACTTGGAGGTGATAAGTCATCACCGTTTGTAGGTTGCACAACCTTCTCATCTTCATTTTCATTAACTACAAGACAACTTGCATTAGTTTCCTTTGCTGAATTTTGAATCTCCAGTGAAGAACCTGTATCTTGTATATCAGCATTTCCTGCCTGCTGCCCAAAATGTTGTAGTTCCAAACAGCTTTTGAAAACATTCTTCCTATTGATACCTGGTGCAGCCACTTCTGAATCAGTTTTCACATGATTTTCTCGATTTTTAATCTCTAAGGTTTCCTGTGCCTGACTAATATGTACCTCTTCCTCTCTTCGACAAACTTCACGTGAGATTTTATAGGTATTATCATCACCATTAGTGTTACGACATCTAGGAATGACATCAGTTATTTGAGTATCCAGATGACTAATATAATCAGTGGCCCAAGCATTTTCACCAAACTCTCCATTGCCTCCACATAAGTCAGTCTCTTCACCTGGTCCCAGATGAAATTGAGGAGTTTTTAACTGCACATTCTCCTCAGTTTGCTCTGATTCTGAGATAGGAGCCATTAATATATGACCATCAACACTCACCAAGACCATCTCTGGTTGTGCACCCTGTGAGTCCGCAAAATTGTCTCCCTCTAGGCTCCCATATGAATTAGACTCGTATTCTGACAACTCAACTGAATCTTCAAACGAAGATCGATCATCTGGGAATTCATAAAACCTCCTATCAACATCAGATTCTGCCCTTTGAATTTGAGGCACACACAAAACTGAAGAATCATCCTCATTTTTCAAACTGAGAACCCCAGAATCCGAGACACTATGATCAAGTCTATGAACATTACTCAAATAGCCATTCTTTTTGTCAATAGAATCTTGAGCAACCTCAATTGAATCAACCACTTTATCATCATCCACCTCCTTCAAAAAATAAGCCTCCCCTGAGTTGTCAAGATACATATGAAAATTGGCCTCAACACCATTAACATTTATCCTAACATACTTCTCCGCACCTTTGAGAACACCCTGAAATTTACCAAACCGAACATACCAAGGCGTGCTCCGAAATGTCCCATCTTGTTGCTGAACAACAATCACATCAACAGCCCCACCAAAGGGGTGAAAAGGGGTTGCAACTGAGTACACACCTTGAGATATCAAGCTTCCAACTTTTCCTACCACATTCATTTTCTTTCTTTCTCAGAAAGAGAGAGAGAGAGACAGAGGCCAAAAACACAAAACAGACCTCAAAATTTAACCCCCAACGACATACATAAATTATTCCTCCTACTTTTGTCTCTTCCACTGATTAGCATTACGGTTCCTGATCAACAACACCATTCCATGCAAACACAAATATAATGTATTTAAAAAATAATAAACTTAACAAAAAACAAAAGTACCAATTTAATGCAAAAAAAAAAAAAAGACTTTCCTACCCATTAAGAGAAAAATGATGGGTGACTGAAAATCCAAGTTGAAAGCAGAAAAATCAATATAAAAAGAAGGTGGTACTTACAGATTCAGAAAACAATCTATAGACTCTAAAAATTGATGGCGATTCCTGTTTTTCTTCCCTTTTGTTTTGTTTTTATATAATGATGCTGTGAATCCTCCACCTCCTTGTCTTGGGTCGTCGTGAATGTTTTCGTGGAGGGTTCAAAGTTTGAACTTGTTGGGGATTTGGATACCAGAAAGAAATATCCCCGTTTCAGAACAGACCCTTCTCACTCCACGCATTTAATATTTAACTCCCACGACGATAACCTCAATTACTCCGTTTTCGCACCCATATTACGATAATGCATAAATAACGAATCGTACGCGGGGCTTTTTCGTCATTTTCGTTGGTTTTCGTGCATCAGCATGGACGAACCGCATCTCCGACCACCCTCCTGGTTTGTTTAACGTAGTCTTTAAAATATTTATATTTTTTTTATATTTTTTATTTGATTATTTATTTTAACTTGAATATGATCCTATTATATAGATTATATAACATTTATTCAACTTTTAAAATTATATAATTTTGAATACATATGTACTTAAATTATAGAATTAAAAATATAAAATTAAGAATTATTTTATGGAATAATTTAAAAAAAACAATATTAAAATAAAATCATTTTTACATTATAAATATATAATTATTAAATATAAATTATACGTAAAGCAAAATGAATTGAATCAAAAGATACATTGAAGTTTTTTCTTAAGATATAAACTTATTAAATTTCGTTTAAAATGAAGTTGTATTCATAGGTGTTTCCATAAATAGAAAACAAAAAAAGAATATATATTACATTTAACTTTTTTCAAAAACTAAAATCTATCTATCTTAATTTTTAAATAAGTGAAATAAAAAGAATTTTGATTTAAATTTGTATATAAGTTAATTTTGTTATATAAAAAATAAGTAATTTTAATTTACTATTTTTTTATAAATATTTATGAAAGAAGTAATGCAAAATGTTTAAAATAAATTAAATTCAGTATTCATAAATATATGAAATAAAATCAAGTTAAAATACTATATACCAATTAAAATATAATTTTTTCAATAAATTAAAAATATATTATGAACTTATTTTCAAAGAATCTATAATATCTTCATGTGAGACAAACTAATGGAACATGACTTATCCATCATCTCATTAAGAAGGTACTAATTTTATTTATGACTTGTTTGGGAATGTTATCAATTTTCAAATAAGCACGCGTTGACCACGTGCTGTGTTAGGTGGAAGGTTCAGGAGTGAAAACATTAAAAATACAGGTTGGAATTATATATTATTTAAGAGAAAACATATGTTAATAATTCTTAAAAAAATCTAATTCATGAACACGTTTATTAATAAAATCTTAAATTTATATGTTTATTATTATATTAATAGTATTAAATAAGGTTGTGAAATAGATATTTAAGAAATTGATTTCAGTCCACATTATTTAACATGTGTCCATGTTTCATGTTTCTGAATATGCATATTCCAATTTTCTCATCCACAATAAATTTTGATGATAATTAGGACGATTTATTGTTTTCTTCTTCTAAAAATATGACACGATATTTATATATATTTATTTAAATATATGTACTCTGTAGAAAAAAAATTATTGATTAAAGAAAAAGTCGTATTGAATTAGTAACGCCTTCAAGTTAAACCCATGAATTAAAACATGACTTTAATAAAATTAAATTAAAAATTACAATTTTGTTGTATTTTTCTTTTAAATTACAGCTGATTCCAACAAAATACCAATTCAACTTTATTAACTTTGTAGTGTCCGGTTTCCGACCTTAGGGTGATGATCATTATTATACAGAGACATGATATTTTGACAATAAAAAACTGTACATCTCTTTAAATAACTCATTTTTATTAATATAATAATTTATAAAATAATTAAATAAAAATAAAAATAAAATTATTATTATAATATTAAAAGACAATTATTTATAAAATTTATAGGTGGTGAAAGTATTATTTTTCTATATATAAATATTAAATATAAAATTTAAATATTTACTCTTTAATCGAACACTTTAAAAGATAATAGCATAATATTAAATATAATACAAAACTTATAAAAAAAAAAAGTAATAATAATTAACGTGGTGTGTGGGACTTAAAACGTTCTTACTCCAAAAAAAAAAAAAATCTCCTGGCCATCACTCATGTCGTTCCCCCGTAGTCCAAGCACCGAACCAGTTGGCGCAGTAGACGCCGGCGAAGTTGCAGGGGTCGGGGGTGAAGTCCCCGGACGCGAAGAAATTGGAACCGGGGACATCGTGAAGAGATTTCCGAATGGATTGCAGAGCGAGGAAATCGTTGGGGGTCTAGGATTCCTCTGACCGATTGAAGAAAGCAGGTTACTTAGGCTTGGAGGAGAAGCAATTTCTTGCTGAATCTGTGTTTTGCCTTTTCTTTTCGACTTCTCTCGGCACAAATACAATCAATCACTGCAACAATATGATTTTACTGTAACAATGAAGTCCGCGTGTGCTTATGCCACAATTTTCGCTTGATTTTGACAATGGAAGCACGGTAGCCTAGCGTGTGACTTCACTTCTTTGAAAGCTCCTTCCTTTGTGACTCCACATAGTTTTAAGTTTCAAATATTATAGATTGATTTTAGTAATGAATATACTGTTTATTATTATTATTATAATTATTATTCAAGTGAGTAATAAAAAATTAGATTAAAATTATTGTACTAATTAATTATTTACTACAAAAGAAATAGTTATATTTGCGGATATTGAATTATTAATGTTATCGTTAATTAATTTTAATATTTTACGATGACAATAATTAAATAAAAATAAAAAATTTTATAACAATTAAATAAAGATCACAAATTTATAATAATGACAATTATTAAATAAAGGTCAGACATTCTATAACGCTAAAAATCATAAAATAAAGGTTGAAAAATCTTTAATAACAATAAATGATCATTTAAAGTTAGAAATTTTTAAAGTTAAAAAATATAGAGACAAACTATCATTTTAAGGTCAAAAATGATAAATAGTTTTTCTAAGGTAAAAAATTATATAGCAACAAACTGTCATGTTAAAGGTAAAAATTCTAAGACAACAAATAATCATTTTAAATTTTAATCATTATAAGGTCAAAAACTTTATAACGCGATCATTTTTAAGGTAAAATATTTACTACGATAAATAATCATAAGGAAATTAGAAATGACAACAACAATCAACAAATTATGATACAGTTGGAATCATAGATCGGAGATAGAAGATGAGATAAAACGTATCAGATAGATATATAATTGACCGATTTATGTAATCGGACTAATGACGAAACTTTATAAGAATCAAATATATAAAAGCCTTAGTAATACTCGAGGTTGGGGTTGTGTAGTGCCTAGGTCCCAATTAGTGTGTAGTGTAATATTCAAGTAATTCAATCTATTACATAATTGTAAATAATAAATAATTGTATCGAATATAAAACTTAAATAGTTACTCTTATATTTCGAAGCTTGATACTAATTATAAATAAAAAATATAAATAAGAATATAAGGGAAGATAACTAATAATATTTTGTAACGATGTCTTGTATAATAATTTTTAAGGATGAAATTTTTTTTCTGATAAGTTTAAAATATAAATTATACAAATAATATCTGTCAATCAATTTCTTTCTAAATATTGTTACTGAAAATATTAGTTTTTTAATATCACTTCGGTTTCATTTAATATAAAGATAATTAAAAAGATTAAAATATAGTGAGTTTAATAGCATGTATAAGTACAAAAATTGACTTAAAATAATTATTGTAACAATTTATTATAATAAATATATTATTAATTCAAAATCATCCATCAGTAGAAAATAATTGTGTTTTTTATTAATAATGAAAGGATATGTTCTTTTTTCTATTTTTATTTTATCAACGAATTTTTTTTTCAAAAATGGATTATCTACAAAAATAGTGTTATATATATTCTCTTTACATTACATTGCACTTTTATTTAAAATCTGTAATCTGAACCTTTTTACATCACAATGTTATAAAATATTATCCAATTAATTGGAACATTGTTGAGATTTTATTTAACTTGTTAAGATTATTTTATAATTAAATGAATTAGTTAAAAAAATTGTTATAGACAAGTTGAATATGACATATGCATGTTTGACATTGTTTTATGAAGTAAGTCGATATATACTTTATGTTTTCATTATCTATCATTTTTATTACATTTTTAGTAACTTTACTTTAGTTATTAATGCTTTAATGTTCTCAGTTTAATTTATTTAGGTTTTAAATAATAAATATCTTTAACAATTTTACATTAACGTTATCAACTATTGAAGTTCAAAATAAATAATAAACATCTTAATACTTAGATTATAAAGTCATCTTAACTTAATATTTATAAACATTGAGCTATATTTAACTTTTAATTTAATAGTTTAAATTTATAATTAAAAAATTCATACCTGTAAGAATATTTTCAGCACATGATTCTAACTTGTTGCTTAAAAAAATTATATCTTGTAAACAATTGTATTGAAGTTGATTTGGGTAACCATAAAAGTTCATAATATTGTTTTAAAAAAAAAATTATCTCACATAAATATTTTAGTCTAAAGATTCTCAATTACCTCATAAATAAACCTCTTAAATTACATATAGTAAAATAAATGTTAAT